TGGCATCCCCTGGTGGGAGCTGGGGAGCCAGAGTACTTGGGAAGAATTATACTTCCTTATACTCTCACTTCTTCCCTGGACAAGAGCTCACTGTCTTTGGTCCTGACCCCTGGCTTATGGCTGCTAATAGGATGCTGTCCCTCCATCTTTGGGAGCATGGTCACACTGTATTTGTGATAACTCTGGAGAATCACATGGGCAGCATGGCTGTGCTTGGGGGCTCTTCAAATCTTGGGTGAAAATGAGCCTTGGAACTTGCTATTATCATATATTATGTTGTGATACTATGATATATCTGGTTCCTGGATCCTTGCTCCCGTAGTCTTTGTATCTCCAAAGTGACTAGAGTTGGGCTAAGAGGCAGCCTCAGGAAGCAAAGTCTCTTTCTGTAGTCTTCTGCTTCCTTCCACCTGCTCCTTTCTGTTTCCAGAGCAAAGCATAGAAGCTGATCTTAAATTCTCTGACATGCTTCATCTAATACAGGAAAGAAGACTCCCATTTCCAAAAAGGTCTGGCCCACGGTGAAGGAGGAGGGAGGGAGTTCTGAGCAGGTGGCTGCCAGGTTTCCCCATCTGGCCTGGTAGCATTACATCACCCCTTTTACCTGGGCTTCAATAATGCCTATGTGGTGAGGTCCCCCATAAAAACTTAAAAGGATGGGCCCCGGGATTAAGCTTCAGAGAGCTTCTGAATGCTTCCTGGAAGGTAGGTGTGCCCAGAAATGGGCACGAAGGAAGCTTTGGGGCCTTTTCTCCCACACTTGCCATGTGCATCTCTTTATCTGTATCTTCAATGACGCTTTGTGTGGCAAACCAGGAAACAGCAGTGTTCCTGGGTTCACTGAGCCTCTTGGGCTCCAGTTAACCCAAGGGGGTGGTGGAGAACCCCAGCTGCTAGCCAGCCGGTCAGAAGCACAGGAGGCTCACTCTTAGGGGCCGAGCCCTTAGTTGTCCCCTGCTAGACAAGGTCAGAACAGGCTCAGAGGGCATCTTGCGAGTGGCTGCTGCTGCAGCGTGGCTTGCTTGGTGTCAGAAGTGTGTTGTCACAGTAGGAAAATGTGATTCTGAGTTTGAGTTTGTTTTTGCTACTCAAAGGTGCCAGCATAGTGGCTCAACTGAAGGGCAGCCTGGGAGAGTTTCTGGAAGAACAGGTTGGAAATTCTAAGTCCTCCTGAAACTTCCTGTCACTCCCCTGGCTCCACAGTGTAGCCTTTCAGTCCCACGCACTGAGGTTGGCTTCATGGCTCCCCCAGACCCAGCTCCCACTGCTGTCCTCTGATGTCCCCCACCAGTGCCTGATAGGCTTCACTCCGACAGGTCCACACCTGTCTCACATGCTGCCTCCTGCTGCTGTCTCACTCCTGGCCAGGACAGCCAACAGAGGGGCTGGCTCGAATCCCACATCTGTGATGTCTTCCCTGACCCCAGCCCTAGTCCCTCTCCCCCTTCCCCCCAGTTTTGGGTTCTACTTCTTGTCATGCTCACATTTGCACTTTTAGCTGCTTGAAACAGACCCACATGGGGGTTTTGTGAATGTCAGAGTAAAAGGAGCCTTTAATCTCAATCAAGCAAGAGAATGAGAACTGGGCCGTCACGAGTGCACCACCACTGTTAAGGTGCGTTCTTTCTCCTTCGTGCATTTATAGTTTCAGTGTCAGTACACAGAAATAGCTACCTATTTGGGGATGCTAAAAAACATGCCCACTGAATTTTGTGTGGTCATGAATTAAAGGCCAGATGCTACCACCTTTTTCTTCCTTGCTGAAAAATTAGCCTTCAGGATTCCTGATTTCGTAACTTTTGTAACCAGCACAACGTGCTTCCTAAACTTCATCCCAGCCTGGCCTCTGCACGTGCTGTCAGGCCTGCAGATGATCTCAGCACACAGTCCCTGAACTGTCAGCCCAGGCGGACAAACACTCAGAACAGATTTCCCCCACACACGGCTCCATGCGGTCCATCTTCTAGCTACCTGACAAGGAAGCAGCTTCCACTCGGAGCAAGCATGAATTAGTTAATGCTGAAACAGCAGAAATGTTCAGTCCTTTCCCTGCAGCTGCAGTGAACCCCCCCGCCTTTATCCACACATTAATTCTAGGTCTCTCTGTGACACTCAGGGTTGAATCCTGCGGTGAATTGCTGGTGGTATAGTAACTGCAGGAAGGCGTATATAATTTCCCTGTCGAAGTGGTTTTAATGCCCCCTTTCAGTGGGTCATGAGACATGAAAGAAAAGACAAATGATTATGGACCCACAAAAATCTGTAGTGTCAACACATGGATGGAAAGTGCTGTTTTTTACCTTTAATCCTTTTAGCCAGGGAGCAAATCTATTTTTATTGCTTATGAGCGATGGTACTAAATTGACTGTGAGAGAGTGGGCTTCTGGAAAAACTGTACTCCCCCTGATGACTCCGGAAGTCCACTAAGAAAGTCAGTTTAGAGGGGAAGTGTGATGGTGTGGTGAGCTGGTGACAGCCTAAGTGAAAAGAGTGGAGGCCAAGAAACAGGCTGCACATGGTGACCCACTAGGACTGGGATGTGGTCTGAGAAGCAGATCCTGCTCTTCCTGGGCCCCTGTGTGGGGGTTTAAATCCTGAGAATAAACCAAGCGTGGCCCTTCCACACCTCCTCCAGTGCTAAAAGGTGACTCTGTGTTCCCAGTCATAAATGAGGTCATCGCTGGTGAGCTCGGCATGATAATAACCACCCTTTATTGTGTGCTTTCCATTGCCAGTTGCTTTGCTAAGTGCTTTATAGGGAACATGTTCTTTCATCCTCCCAACATCCCTTTGCGGTAGATGCTATACTTCACTTTGGAGGTGAGGAAATGGAGGTCTTAGGTTAAATTATTGGGCCAACACCAATAGCTACTCAGTGGTAGACCTGGGACTTGAACCCAGAGACAGTCTGGCTACATAGCCGGTGCTTAACTTAACCACCACGCTTTTAAATAGCATTCTGACTTACTGAATGTTGACAGTGTAATATCCAGAAGGTTAGAATAATCTTTTTTTTTTTTTAACAAATTGCCTGAATGATTCACCAGGAGACCTGAGGGAAACACCCTTGGTTTAATTAAGAACAAGTATGTCATTCTTCATCCATCCATCCTAAACATGTGTTTTGAGAATTATGGAATTGGTCATTAGGACTCCAAGAACCTTAGGTAGTTGAAGATGCTTAAATAGTGTAAGCAAATGAGTTTCCACTTCCCTGCCTAATACTGAAACCCCCAGACTTAGCTGTTTCCTACCCAGCGCAGTGATTTGAAAAGAAAATTTCCCATGTATTTTATGTAAGTCAGAAATGGAAAGCTCTTTGCAGAATACTTTTAAGGCACTTTTGTAGGGATTTCTTCTGAGCCCTGACTGAAATCCCCTTTGGGGAAAGCATGGCACCTTGTCAGGGATCTGGTTTCCAGCCTTTTGTCTTTGACCCCCAAACATTTCTCTCCAGTTGTCTTGATGAAGTGAGAGTTTGGTAAATCCAATCAATTAATCCTATTTGTTTCATCCCTTCCGACTGCTGTCATTCTCCTCTTCCATGTACTCTGATTAGGACCAGCACCAGTAGGATCTGGATTACTGTAATAGATTCCAAATGAGATTGCTTATTATGTTTTTGAGGGGCAAGTTTGATGTGGTTAATTTGTATATCGTGGGATAAACAACTTTCATTCTTTTGTCCAAAAGGAATGATGACAGCCTGAACAGGTAGCCGTTTCCTAGGAAAGTCATAAACTCTTTATGTAAGCTGCAGTGCAAGCAAGAGAAATCTGAGAAGCAGATGTTCTTGCAAGTATCAGATGGTATAAGGGGAAGCTAATTTAGAAAAATGACCCTGGAAATCTCATGTGAATAAAACATACACACTAACTCACTCTCTACAAGCACCCTCTTTGACTTAGTCATTCTATTTCTGGAAATTTATCCTTAAGAAGTTATCCAAAACTCAGGAAATTAAGATGGCTGTTGCATGTTTACAGTAGCAAAATATTTGAAACAATTAATATGTCCCAGTTACACATATGCACATTGAGATCCATCTGAATTTATTATAAAATCAAAATTATAAGTCATGCAGCAACACGAAAATGCTTATGTAAAGGAGAAGTCAGATATATAATCATAGCTCTGCACCATTTAAAGCATATAGTTTTTGCTTCTAGAATTTCTATTTAGTGTGATTTCTGCTCCATTTGCATGCCATCCTGCTGACCCCTCTGGTTACCGCTCCTTCCATTTTCTCTTAGCATCTTTGGCATACCTTCCTAATACTTTTTTCCTCTTCAGTCTCAGGGTATGTGTTCTTCTGTGTGTTGCACTGTTCATTTCCCTGGTGTGGCAATATTGTTATTCCTGGGAGCATTTCACCTTTTGCACTGGTAGTTGTCCTTAAGACTCTCCTTCCCCAGCTTGGGGCGTAGGAGAGGAGGTGGTTTTGCATTGCAGTGCCCACACTCTAGTGATTTCAGTGGCCTCAAGTAGATAGTACACTTCTTTACTACCTTCCTGGGTGTTTTGAGTATGAATTCTGAATTTGTGTAGAGAAATCAGTTCTCTAATAAGAGCCTGAGATCAACTCTTACAGCTGAGGGGTTAAATCCTTAGCTCCCAATCCTAAAGCCTCTACTGATTCCTTAGTTCTGGGCTCCACTCTCACAAATCAGTAGGGCCCACTTCCTTTCTGGCACCTAAACTTCCTTTCCTGCCTTCAGACTCTGCTGTGCATTAAAAAATAATTTATACTTTAACCATCAATTCCATATGTTGTAGTGGTATGTTCAACCCATTTTATTTATTGCAAATGTATGAAAATGTATTTGAATATAATCAGAAACCAAAGGGACTTTGAGAATGATTTGTGAAAGGTAAGAGTGGATGTAGTCACTAACTTTCTGTATTTTGCACATATTCTGTATTGTCATTCTGTTGTCTTGAAAAAAAAAAACAATGACTATAAAAATCTTTTCAGTTTTAATTGTTGCCTTTTGTTCCAGAATGCATACACTACAACTGCCATTAATGGAACAGATTTTTGTACATCAACAAAAGATTCACTCAAAATCTTATCCAAGAATTCAAATCATTTTACATCTGTTAACTGTTTTGGAGACTTCGTAATTTTTCTGGGAAAGGTGAGCTGTCTTGAATAAAAGAATAAAGAATCAAGAATTCAAAACAGTAAACCAGCTGGGGGTGGTGGCACATGTGCCTGTAATCCCGGACTTAGGCTGAGGAGTTCCGCGGGCTGCATAGCAAAACCCTGCCTCAAACAAAATAGAAAACTAAACTAAAAAGAAGCCATCTAGCAATTAATTTGAGATGGAATTAATGCTCAGTCCCACAAGGCATCCCTGTTTTGCAAATGATGAAACTAAGGTTTAATAATTTGTTCAGGATTCCATAATAATGTAGAGGCAAATTTTAATGTTGGACGTATTTTCTTAACCAATTCTCTCTCATTTTTTATGCCTAAAATGAAAATGTTACCACTCTCAGAAAATGAATATGCTTTATGAGATTTTCTTGTAAAAAATGAAAATTGTATTGATCCCGATGCAATTTGCTCATTACTTAAGGGCAGTTAAGTCTATTAACAAGGTTGACTGTTAATATCCTAAGTGGGGCCAAGATTACATTTCTGTTGTTATCTGAATAATTATTTATATTTTTAAAAAATTTAAAGGCCGGTGATATAGCTCGTTGGCACAGCTCCTGCCTGGCAAGCATGAGGTCCTGAGTTGGATTTCTGGTACCAACAACAAAATTTATGATTTAAAAATTGTAATTGTACAGTCTTATAGAGTGGAGTATTTTAGAACCTCAACATCTCGTGGTTAAAGGACAAAATCTTAAAATTGGAACCTTTCACCATTCTAGCTTCAGATTTCATACCTACAACATAACGCATGCTTTTAGTAGGTTTTAGGAAGAACGACTGTGATGTGGTGACTGAGGTATATCAGCCCCCATCCCAGCCCCTACTTGACCAGGCTTCAAGTTAGTGGGTTCTCTGTACTATGATGCACAGTATGTCTCTTTCCGTGTACTTTTCACGCACTGGGTGTAACTCTGAACATCTCAGTTTGCCTGATCTGCTTCTACTTGACTGCCAAATTCCTGGCTGCAGACTTTGCTGACCTTCCCATCATGTTCTCTCTGTTCCAAGCTAAACATCTTTACTCCTCTCAACTATTTCTCTACATTTGACATGAGTACTATCGTTTCCAGCAGATCCCACAGGTAAACAACATCAGCATCAGTTGTGATGCCAAGTACAGGGAACTCTGGTCCTCATTTAGGATTTTGTGTATGTTGCTGGTGCAGACTATCAGTTAGCTGCCAATAAGTCATAATATCTTTGGATTTCAAGTGTGTGCTAACTGCACATATATTTAAGGCTCAGCTGGGCCACGGAGCTGTTTCAAAGAAGCACAAAATAATTGTGCCTTTCAAATCATGCCTGAATACACTATAGTGATATTTAAATAGATACTGTTTGTGTGATGTATTTCCTATTAACTTTCAAAAATTTCTGGAATTTAATATTTATTTTAGGTAATAACTCACTTTCCTATTTTTCCTGTAAGAAATATGTAATGGCTAATCATCTCTTATTAAGCATGTGACTACCAATTCTTGGTCTTTTGAGTGGAGTAGCATTCAGATATCCTTGTTGATATATACAGATAACCAGTGGCAATGAACCCCAGATGGACTCCATTACATCAGTTAAAGAATTAGATGCATCATGGTCTGTAATTATATACCTGGAAACATAATAATTATGTATCTCAAAAGCCTGAATAATCCTATTACCTCCCTACACCAGCACTGGAAAGCCTCACCACTTTAATCCCCAAGCAGTAAAACCAATGCTTTATTAAACTACAGCACACCCAGGATTGTTAACTGTTTTTAAAAATGCTGTTTATAAAAAAGAGCTTAAGTGTAATCTGCTCCTTGTGGTAGTATATGAAAAACCAAAATAAAAATGTTGAGGTACTGTCACATCTGTATTAAGATCAAGCATGGATAAAATGAAAGCACCCGTTTTTACCCACTCCCATTATTTGCTTTTGGTGTCCCAGCTTTCATTTATCCTTGTTTCATTTTACCAAATTTTGACAAGCACTTTTTACAAGTTGTGCTCGTGCACATACATACAACTATTATTTTTGTAAGGAAAAAAAAAAAACTTTCCTAGAATATACATTCTAACCAACCAATTTACAAAGGTTTTCAACACACTTGTTTTTGGACAGGTGTTGGTGGTGTGCTTCACTGTTTTTGCAGGACTGATGGCATTTAACTACAACCGCACATTGCAGGTGTGGGCAATCCCTCTGTTACTCGTGGCTTTTTTTGCCTGCTTAGTGGCTCATAGTTTTTTATCTGTGTTTGAAACGGTGCTGGATGTACTTTTCCTGTGTTTTACTGTTGATCTGGAAACAAATGATGGATCGTCAGAAAAGCCCTACTTTATGGACCAAGAGTTTTTGGTAAGCAGCCGCTTCATTTCCTTTTATTTTCACCCTCGGTTTCCACACAGTGCTGTTTCTCAAAGATCTGGGCTCAGCTCTTCAAGCCTGAACCGCTTCCCTTACTCGCCTGCTCCCTGGACAGAGGTAAAGCTGAACAGAATAATGGTCAGATGGGTTCTTCAGTAAAGGCAGCCTGAGACCTGCATAGGTGTTCTGGAAATAACAGTCTAAGTAGCTTTGATGTTCATGGCTTGGTCTGACTTCTGGAGCCCTGAGTTGAAAGTGCATCTGTTTCTAAAGCATGTTTGCACCCCCTAAGAGCCGTGTGTACACTAATCGCCTTCTGTGCCGGCGTTGATAGATCTCCACCTTCAGGCCTTGTATTAACCAAGGCACACCCTCAGCAGAGCCCCATGCTGTGTCTATCTGGAAATAGCAGGCAGCTGTTGTCCCAACAGCCTTTACAACACAGTTGTTACCTGCCTTATCCTATGCAGACAGGGATATTTTAACAACTGAATGTCTCGTCCTCTTGTTGGGTCACATGACAGTTAATTTTCTTTAATTCTGTTGTCATTGCTCTTTTAGATTTACACAGCAGACCAGTCTCGGTCCAACAGACCCTTAAACATCTCTGTAGCCTTCTAATAAACCTATCTTCAATACTTCACTATTTGGATATGCTGAAAGTGTTTCTGATGGTGGTATGAGATCTATATTTTCCAATTAAAAATTAATTTTGAAATCTACACCCCTCTGAAATATTATAGTTCAACAGGGAAATTTTTAACAATTACCCAAAGCTGTACATAAACTCCTTGTAAATGGTTATCAACAGTAATGACACATCATGGATTTCTTTTGTTTTTCAGAGTTTCATAAGAAAGATCAACAAATCTAACAGTACAGTGGCACAGATAGACAAAGACCAATTAAAGAATGAAGAGGGAACAGAACTCCGGCCCATCGTGAGATAGGCGCTCATCAGACTTTTGTAACTAGAGAAAGTGACCTTCAGAGCCACTGACAATAAAAGATGTGATAGGCCCTCATTTCGTTTTTGCAACTATGTCAAATCCTGAAACCATAAAAGTTTAGTCATTTTCATATCTAGGACATAAAACACTGGAAATATTTATATAACAGATCAATTTAAGAAGCATAATATGTGAAAACCCATCTGAGTGTGTAAACATATGACTAGTAAATCTTTTTTTAAAAAGGATTTGGTTAGAAATCTATGGAACATTTGTCTTGTTCAGGCAGGGATCTTCATTTAATCTTGGAAATATACTAAATATGAGTTTTCAGGGTACAATTCTTAAATTTAGCAACACGAAACCTGAATATGTGAGCCTGTATTTGGAACCAGGCATACATAGTTCTCAGGTGAACCTTAACTATACAAGACTTAGCTGCACTATTACAAATGGGCAAGCACAACCATAGCCACGTCTGAGTACTGCCTGGAGGAAGACTTTCAAGAATACTTTTATCTGGAGCCCACCCAGGATTTAGATGGTGGGGAAGGGAGAGATTTTCCTTGTTAAAGCTTTAGACAAATAGGTGGCTGGGCAGAATTACCCACTCTCCCGACAGGAGACTCAATCTGACTTATGCAGAGGAGGGTACTGTGAGATGGAAGGCTTCCTTCCCCTCCATAAATGCTTCTTCGGAGATGACAAGAAACAGCCTGACAGCTCAGGTCTACTTTAAATGCAAATTTTCCCCTGAACAGTACCACTGAATTAGTTTAGCTCATTAGTCTCCCATAAGGAAGGGATTTACAGAGCATTAAATTGTCACTGAAGAATGGTAAGTAAACTTCGCTTTTGTGAATTCATCAAACCAGATACATGCTCCCTTCTTACTGGCTTTACTAGAAAACAGGCATCTTTTCACCCAAAGCCCACCAGGGCCAATCCTATCAAAAGCAATCACTTGGCTGACACAATGTCTATTGAGTCACTACTGATTTTCTTTGGTGATTCTATTCTTCTTAACACTTAGCTGTTGTTTGATCTCCTCTATGTCACAACTGGCAACAAATCTGTGGCATGCATGTTGTTTTTAACATAAAAAGATGCTAATGTATGAATTTTTTCTAAAATGAAACCCTAGCATATTCAGATTTAATCAGCAGCACTACCACTTTGCCAGTAAGTGGGTTTTGGGTTGCAGCTTGGGCACTCGTCTCAGAAAGGTTCGCTAGCACTCATTTAGGTGTTTCTATAATCCTAACCTTATCATACAGCAACTCTGTTTCTAACCCGGTATATTTCTTATTCATATTTACCCTAAGGTATCTACATAAAATCCCACCACACATACACACTCAGAGTTATTCCTGGGGTGAGGTTTATTCCAAGCTGAATGTAAAATGAATGTGGGGCAGCCAAGTCACAGTGAAACAAGCAAGGGTCAGATAATAATCCCGTTTGCCACACACTACTCATTTCTCTAAGCCTCAGTCTCCTTAAGCACAGAGTACAGTGTTGTGCAGAGAAGTAATGCCAAAATACCTTATCACAGTACCCAGGAAAGAGTACTTTTTTTTAACCATTTCTACTTGGAAGCTAGCCAGGAAAGAAGCAGCCTGTGGTTCATATGAATGTTCAAAAAAATATTTATTTATAAAAAATACAATGGGATAAGTTTATGCTGAGAAATGCAGCAATAAATACAGTTGAAGAAACAGAGCAACTCTACAACGATACATTGGCACAAACGAAGATTTTGCAACCACACCACCCAGACCTAAATGTCTGCAAGCCAATTTTTGTACATGCTCCTTTAGAAACCCCACTCTGAAAATATCTTGTCAGCTTAAGAGAATGAGTACACATATAATCACAAATGCACACTGATCAGGACTTTATTTAAAAATTAGCAAACAATACTGTAGAAACATTGATATGTAAAATTCTAAAATGCTGCATCTTAGATTTAGTTGGCAAAGACCACATTTAGCAATAAGCATCAGTTTAGTCTTCCATGTAGAAACCAGATACACTAATCTGTAAAAAAAGAAAATTTCCTATTGTTTGAAAATACCAGTTTAAGTGTAAGATTGTAAAAATGCATAGATCTTCAATAAAAGAACTGGCTGTACAAGTGTACTCCCCTTTCACAGTATTCCTTTTTACTTCATATGCAAGTTACTGGTTATGCTGTAGGATTTAACTGTTACAGCACTAAAAGGCAACTATTTAGGGAAGAGGCAGAAAAAGGAATGTATGTAAGGCATTTTTTTTAGGTACGAAAAGCATAATAGTGTTTTAGGAAGACAAGATAAAAATTACTCAAGGCTAGCTTGGTTTTCACTGAATAAAAACAATTGACTAAATACTGAGCTCCTCTGTGTGAATCTAATAATCAATGCCTTGGTCACCATACTGGTAATCTCTGGGGTAGTCATCTTGGTACTCGCCATGGTATTCATCTGGGTATTCTGCCTGATAATCACTATCACTGATTTCCGACCCATTTGTTCCTGTGCCTTGGCTTCCATTATGAATGACAGGTTCTGTTGGAGCAGCACAATATTTGGGATCATACACTTGCCGCCCAAGCCCATACACACTCATTCCTTTCTGGGAAGCAACTTTGTTGGTACCCATCTGTAGGGAAATTGTCGAGTTGTCCACTGGCTGTAATGTTAACTTCTGATCATAGATGTCTCTTCTGGTACCTGGTGCTAACATCCCCGCCTGGTATGAGAACATGATACAAGAATATATAATAAAAGTTAAAACAGTAGCTAAAATCTATATTTGTCAATAGTTTATAAAATATGAACTTCACACTGACATAACAACTTTAATTTGATTCAGGGGTAAACCTGCATTACCAAAATATGCTGGTATCAAATTACTTTCATGAAGCAAGAGTCACTGGTTTTCAATCTAAGGCAGACTTGCCCTCAAATCTCCGCTTTACTATAAAATGCTATGCTACCTCAGACAAGTGAGCGTTGATTTCTTCAATGTAATATGGAGACAGCATGACTTACTCTGAATTTAGAAGAGGATCAGACATAAAGAAAATAAAAACACCTGGTAAGCAGGAGGTCATGAGCTCGATCCCTGACATGTAGAAGTTACATTTGAATGCTTATTATGACCATATACACCGATCAAGTTACCAATTATAAACACTGTGCATTTTTTTCAAAGGGTTCTGAGTCACATAGGTGCTAACTACTTCACAACAGCACACTCCAAAGCACTCCTTTTCAGAGTGCTGCAACCCATATATTAGTTTCCCTCTTTCTGCAATCACATACTTCTAGCTATCCATTGGGTAACAAAGCAAGTTCAAGTAGCAGCTATGAGAAACACATTGCCACACATGACAGAAAATGTTCCATGAGGGCAAGTAACCCTGGGTCACTGAGAAAAACCATTTTCAAATCTCATCCTCATTCTTGTTGGATATGGGAACCATCCTCTCTCAAATGGCTATTGGAACTCCTCCTGAGGTGCTGGCAATGTATTTTTTAACACAGAAATATATTATTTCTACCTTATTAGAACACTGGTATTTTCATCACACTCCATTCCTACTATTTAACAACTATTTAATGAGCATCTCAGGAATTTTTATCCTCTAGGAGTTCAGTATTTCACAGGGAATGCTGGTTGAGCAGTTCTTAGTAGAACACCGGATAATTTTGCCTACTTTAAGATTCCTTTTAAAAATAAGGGGGTGAGGGGAAGCCAGCATTTTAATAAGCAATCTTTTACTTGGGTTTTGGAGCAAGAACACTAATAAACGTACAATTTTTTTTTTCTAGTTAGGTAGAAAAGCCCCAAAATCCCGTGAACCACACCCAGTTTCACTGCTGTAGAAAAGATATTTTGATTCTTTTGCTTTCCCAGCAAAAACTTGCTTTCCTCTAAATAGACTATACAAAAATGCCTACTTTGAACTTTCAGTTAATAAGAGTAAGGTTAAGCACTAGTTTTTTGAGACAGGATCTTGCTATATAGTTTGGCTGCTCTTGAACTCACTATGTAGCCTAGGCTGACCTGGAACTTGGGTGATCCTCCTACCTCAGCCTCCCAAGTGCTGGGATTGCTGGCATGGGCTCAGCCAGCCCAGGTCCCATTCAATAAGTGCTAATTTAAAATAGACCCTGTGTACTTCCTGCTACAAGTATGAAAAGTGACTGCTTACCTGGCTGGCTCCTTTGTTGGTGCCCATCTGCAGACTGATAGTGGTCTGATCAAAAGGTTTGTCAGTTTGCATTTTGGGATCATAAAGATGCCTCCTAGTTCCATAGGCCGTCATGCCTGCCTGGCTGGCACATTTGTTTGTTCCCATCTTTTAAGTTTAAAATTAACACTAATTAATCAGAAGTCAACAACATGTAACATAAAATTCTCTGTGCTACTAAAAGGCATGGACCTTACTTATAGGTATTAGCACACAGAGTCCTGGGTTCAATGCCCCAGCACCAGCACCACCCCCAGCCACCAAAAAAAAAAAAGACACAGTGCAACTGAAAATACATTTCAAATGCTAACTTTAAAAAGAAAGTTTTCTGCCCCCCAAATTCTGTGTATATAGATAAAACCTCACAGCTTAAGGAACTATAAACTTGTTCACATAATAAATGGACAGACAAGACAAATAAGTTGTAGAATTATATATCATCTCCCTGTTACTTTTTCCCCTATTCTCTGAGTCACAGATAACCAAATTAAAGGATCTCGGCTTCAGCTGTAAACAAAAAAAGCAAGGTTAAGCCAGGCAATATGCCTTGCTCCCTCAGCAGAGGTTTACATAAAACATGAGAACAAATGCTAGGAATTTTCTCTAGGACAATATAGTACTTCTTTTAAGTTTAAAATCACTAGCATTTTCATGGGAAGGGAACCACATTTTATGCCTTCAACTCTTATATACTGGCTAGAGCCAGAAGGAACCAGAATGAGGAATTTGAAGGCAACCAAATTCAAAGGAACAGTAATTAACTTCCCTTCCCCACCAAGAACCATATGGCTTCCTCATCCACCCGTACACCTTTCCTACTGGCTTGAGACAAGTT